CTGCACAATGAGGAAGAATAGGAAAATGGACTATATCTTAAAGCAGCTGTGATCAAGAATTTGGTTACCTTCCTTTATTAGTGAACTTTCATTATTCATATAATTAATCTGAAAATCTAAGGCAGATGCCTTAAATGAAAGTGGTCAGCATGACACTACTTTATGCGGTTGAGATAAAATATCAACTTTTCTCAAATTACTGTACTGGTGTAATATAAAAAAGGGCAGAAGTCTACCTCCAAAAATTTCCAGAAAGAATTTTGAGTTTTGCACTTATTAATTGCAGAAATGGCCCCACGATTTTCATGTTAAAAGACAGCCTCATTATTTTAAGGCAGTATTATTTATGCCAATTAAATGCATTGGGGGTCCTAGTAAGTTTTTCTTTCATAACATGGGGTGTTTGCAGTTATCCTTAGATTTTCAAAATAAATGATGAGCAGCTGGATAAGGACTGGTGGTTTTTTACTTCCTCCCCGAAAGAGCCGATGTTTTTGGCCGGCTGTTGTGTGTTCTTTTTGGGGGGGGCGGGGAGATGGGAAGGGAGAGGAAAAGGGCTGTATAGAGAATTGCTGGATAGGCCTACTTTAAAATTCTTCTTGGACCCATGAGGATGGGGGCTGGAGGAGAGAAAGGAGTTATGTGGAAGAATTTCAGTATAATAATACCTAAAATAAAAATAATAATAACTTTTTAGATAAGTGTACAAACTCCTGCAGTCCCTAGCCCCCCTCCCTGGGCCTGCTGCTACCTCTGGACGATCAGGAGCCATTTTAGAGCTTAGGAAGCAAAATATGTGAGCTCCACTTGTGTTTTCGCAGGTGCTGTGGCGTTGAGGATAACCTGGGCTAGCTTGCCGTGTGTCACCACGCTGTTATTGAAAGTCTCTGAAGACTAAAGACTGCGCAGAAAATTTCAAACCCACATCCTAAACACCTGAAACTCGCACGGTGCCTACAGCAGATGGCAAAGCATGTCACCTAACATAACGAATCTGTATCCACATCTAGGGAGTTTTTATTCCCGTGAGGTAGCTTCAGTGAGAAATCCACCCTGGATTTCCAAAAGCGTTCCAGATGGCGACATAAGGACCCCCCCCCCCGCCCCCGCTCTAGGAGTTTCGCGTAAACCAGCGCGCGAAAGTTCCTCCCGAAGTTCCCCAGGTTCCTCAGAGGGTCTTCCCTCCTTTCAGTCCTAAATGTCAAGCCGCCCCAGAAGGGGAGGCGGAGAGGAGCGGCGGGAGAAGCGGCGGGTGGGGTGAGGGAGTAAGCTCAACCACAGGGCAGCTCCACGAGAAGCTCTGAGGGGCCGAGAGGCCGGAGAGGCGTTCGCCTCCTCGCCGTGGGGACGCGAGGCTCCGAGCCCGGCTGTCCTCAGCTGTCACGGCGTGGGGAGAGAGGAGGAGTGCTGGTACCGGCGCCGGGGACCGCGTCGCTCCAGGCGCCAGCTCACCTCCGCGAAGCGCAGGGCACTCACCGGCCCGCTCGCTTCTTCCCACCCCCCGCGCCCGAGTTCTCCGGGCGCCGGTGGCCGGAACCACCCGCTGGGATGGCTGCAGCCTCCCCGGGGACCGCCGCCCCAGGGCCAAGACCCAGAGTGTCGGGGGGTGCCTGGCCGTCCCGGGAACCCGCAGCTCCCCGGGCGCTGCGGTGGCGGCGGCCGGGAGGCGCCGGGCCCGCTCCTCCTCCCCGCCCCCAGCGCCCGCCTCCAGCCCGCTGCGCTGAGCGCCAGCTCGCCCCGGCCGGCTGGCGCGGGAGCTCACACACTCACTTCGAGGGCGCCTCCAAGGTTACCCGCGGAGTGGGGGCTGGGGTAGGCTCCGGGCACCGGCCTCCTCTGCAAGCTTTCCCAATCTCCGCAGTCCTTCTTCAGTTCCAAAGGTCCACCGGGATCCAAACCCCAAAGACGCTCCAAAAGTCCGGGGAAGGGTAGTCGAGCTGGGCGGCGGGCAGACGAGCAGGCGGGCAGGCGTCTGGGCTGGGGGCGGCCTTAGTTGGCTCTGGGTGCCGGGACGGCAGGGTCAGGCAAGGTCACGAGCAGCAGGGGGCCGTGGCTGCTCCAGGCGCGCTCTGGGACGTGCAAGCTGGGTCGGGGGGCAGCGTTCGGGGGCTGCACGCAGTGCCGAGGCGCTCGAGGCGCCCCCCGGCCCGCAGAGGGTGAGGGTTGGTGTGCAGAGAGGAGAAGGCGCCCAAACCTGCCGAAGAAACTAGTTAAATAAAACAAGAGAGAGACTGTTATTTAAGGCGCGGAAATTTGAAATATTTGGACAGGAAGAGAAAAAGAAAAGAAACCTTAGCGAGGGAGGAAAAAAATGTGAGCTAACGGTTTTGAAGGTCCCCCACCCCCACCCCCGGGCTTCTCTGCGCGCCCTGAGGAAGCTCTGGGCTTCCAGCTCCTTCACTCGGGCGCCCTGGTCTGGAGTGGGAGTCTGGAGAAAGATTTCAAAGGGACACAAAGGATGTCTTCGCAGCCCTCCCCCGAGCCCCCCGAGGCCCCCGAGCCCCCCGAGCCCCCCGGGGCCAGGGTTGGACACTGGCAAAGCTTTGGCCCCGATCTTGGACTACTGGATCTCTGAGTGTATCTGCTTTCACGGAACTGCCGGGTGAACGCAAAACAGCCTCCCTCCCCCCCAAGACTCGGACAGGGACTCCCCTCTCCCCAGTCCCCCTGCAGCCTTCTGAGGAAGGTAGTTCGGGGCCTTCGGGAATGCTCCCAGGACGGCCGATCTCGCTGCGGCACGGGGACTTGCCGGCGGATGGTGCTTCGCTAACTCCTAATGCCCGGCAAAAGCTGAACTAGTACCTCGCAGGGACCCGAGATGTAGAAATCCGGCCAGGGTCCGCGGACCCCACCGAGCTCACTAGACGAGTCCGACAGAGGACCTGTATCATATTTTCGAGTGAATTGCTTTCCCAAGACGAAGCACTTAGCACTTCAGGAAAGTCACCCAGCGTGGTGCAGGTACAGGAGCCTATCACACCCTTGGCTTGATGCAGGATGTTTATCAGAAAATCAGCATCCAGTACCGAAATAGGGATAAAAGACACTTTGAGTAGTGGTGCTGGGACCAGAAAGTAGCTGGAGGGCCTGTGAATGGCTCCCACCTCCGCCCCGCCCGAGGGGTAAGCCTGGCTTTGGCTCTGCTGGGCAGGACTGAGCCTGTTTCCCTGGTGAGCGCTTGAGGATGAGAATGAGGATGCGGAGGAAGCACTGAACTGGAGAGCGCACCTCTGTGTAGTGTCTTCCATCCTTCCCTGGGGGTTCTCGGCACTGTATTAATTAGCATCTGCACCCTCCCCATTCGGCGTGTGCCCGGCACCTGAATAAATGAAGACCCCTGCCACTTCCCGCAAACTGCAGCTTAGCGCCGCACTTCAGCTCAACGGCATCTTGTCTCTATCCCGTACCTCTCAGCACGTTCCGGGGTAGAACTGGCTATTGTCGAGGTTTTGAGATTGAATAATGGCTTTTCGCGTTTCCTAGAGGGGACCACATAACTCATTTCTGAAATACTTAGATTAACAAAGCTACTTCCTGCGAAGAGCCAGAACCATCAATGTAGCAGCGTTTAAATACCCAGATTTGAGGCTAATGGAGAGACCCGGGTTCCTCCGCCTCTGCTGTGCCTTGACCACCCGAGCACAAAGCTGTAAAAGAACTTCTTTTGCTGTGACTTTAGACTTGAAATCTCTAAAAGGAGATTCACTTGGTGGAGTAAAGTAAATGCTGAGGCACGTAGAGGCTGTAAAGTCCACGGTAAACTGGATTTTAAATCCAGAAACTTCCATCTTTACACTGGAAGAATTTGTTACTACTTCCAGTAATAATGTTTAGAAAAACATTCACTTATTAAAGATATATTTTGCACATAAAACCTATTTTTAAGTCCAGAATATAACACCTTTTCTTTAAAATCATGTTTTTACTTTTTGCTTTTAAATTGTGTTTAATTCCATGCTGTCATTAAACATACAATTGTTCAGTAATGTGGTTAAAAGGGGCAGAAGTCAAAGTCGTTTTGCACTTAAACCTAAGGAATGTGCTTTTAGTGCAGAGTGAAAAAGATTAAACTTTTTCTCGTATTCTTTTGTACTACATGGAAAATAAATTATTGAAAAGCACTTGCCTGTCACCATTCCAATCCTAGTTAGGTCAAGCAACAGAACCATGTCCTTCAATAAACCTTGAAGTATTTTGTTCTTTTTAGAATGAGGGCAGGGAGCTCATGAAGCAGAGGGAGGGGACTTTCACATAAAACATCTTTGTTCATGTGGGAGATGATGAATAAAGTATTTATAAATTTATAAATGGTAACTGCATTGACATTCTTTGATGAAAATCTTTAATTAAAATGACAGTGTAAATAGTAGACATTGAAAAATCCTTTAGGAATTTGAGATATTTGTATTTCTTTCATCATTTTTAATTTTTACCTAAACAGATTTTTACTAAAAGGTTTTATGGAAATCAAGTATACAGAGGAATGACTTATTTAAGTTTCTAAATGTATTTTTCTGTAGACCCTAAAACAGTAATGAATGTTAGATATCATTTATACATTTTTTGTTGCTGAGTATTTATCCTCTAAAAATCAGTATTTACATTTCACTTTATTTTGAAACATTTTGAAATTTTACATTTTTGAAATTCAGGGAGGAAAAAAAAAGCCCAAGTACATTTATAGCTGGTGTAACTGGTGTTGGGAGAGGGAATGTATTATTTAACCAGTTGTCTAATTTTGTTCTTTAAGAAGTCAACCAATGAGAACTTTCAAGGTGGCATTTTCCTTTATAACGCTAAATAAAATCTTTGAAGAAAGGGAGAAAAGTTGAAGAAAGGGAGAAAAGAGTAACTGATAAAGAGCATATATCTAATTTTCCAATTGGCCTACTTTTTCTAATGTCAGGACTTAAAATATCATCTTTCAGTATAGTGTTCCTTTGCAAATGGTGAGTTATGCGTGGGTACAGAGGAGTGAAAAGCACAGTAAAACATTATCCTGTTCTGAAAAAGTGTTTTAATTAGATAAAAGAAGCATCAGAACAAGCCATTTTAAAAACAAAGTTTCCAAGTTGGTTATTGAGATTGGCAAAGGGTAGAGCAAGGGGGGAAGAATCAAAAGAAAGATAAAATATTCAGAAGAAAGCCAAGGCTATTTGCAATTACATGTTAGATCTCAGGATTTTGCAGGTGAAAAAGGTGTTGCTTAAAAGATTACCACTTAGGCAGTTTCTTACTATTTAACTAGCTGCGTATAATGTGACAAAACCGTATTTTAATAAACGGTATTAAAACAGCATGGCCAGCCAAATTAACTGACAAAGCAGAGGCAACCTCGGAAAGCCCTCTCCTTATTTACTGCACACTTTCGGGTCCCTCCACCCCATTTGCCTCCAGCAAGCTAACGACCTCGTTCTTGCCATAAAGCCTGGCTAAGTCGCAGGCAGTATCCCCCTCATGGTTCCGATGCCCCACTTTGCTGGCCGTGTGCTTCACCAGGAACTCCACCACTGGAAAGTGACCTTCTTTGGCAGCCAAGTGCAATGGCAAGTTCCCTTCATTATCTTCGATGTTAACATCAGCTTGAAACTCCAGCAAAGTCTGTAAAGTGTCCAGGAAACCTTCTCGGGCCGCATCATGAATGACAGCGAAACCAGTTTGGTCTTTCAAATCTGGATTAGCACCTCTAAGTAGTAGTCTCCTGGCAATCTCGGGATTTCCAAGTTTCATAACCTAGAAAAGAAGTGAAAATGTAGACTCCTCCAGGTGCTGTAGCTACAGGACTAGTCTAAAACATCTAGCTGTTTGTCTATTTATGTAACTATTTTGACGAAGTTCTTTAGGAAGACCCACAGGATGGAGTTTGAAGGGTGTATATTCAGGAAAGCACTAGTAGACCAAAAAAGAAGAAAGGTTCTAAAAATTGAGCTTCTATGATGTGCTATCTTAAAAGGAATCAAAGCTAAAATCAATTGATAATTAAAACAGAATTTTTGCAATATGTATACAATTCACTAACAACTCAGTTTTCTATCCCCCATGAAGACTTGAATGATTTTATGAATTAAAAGAAGGGAGGCTTTAGGATTTGAGTAAGGGTTTTCCTTTTGTTTGCTTGTTCTTGCTCAATAAGTGTTCCTGGAATATTAATGAAATTAATTATAAAATAAAATCTACATAAACTTTATTTTCCAAATAAAAACTGAAAAAAAAAAGAATGGTGAGTTTCCTTATACCTTAAAGTGAGTGTTTAAATCCATCAGATTCTACCATCCAAGATAAAACTGACCTATTAAAAATTCAGACTTGATATTTTCTTAAATGAATGTCATGATTTCCTTTCCCATAGACACAGTCACAAGTTTCCAAGTTTTTAGAAAGCATTTTTCCTCACAAATGATTTAACATTGACTACTGAGTGTTTTCAGTACTTAGGTTCCTCCATTTCAAGTTACAAAATGTTACTGAGTCTCAAGGTGCTAATAAGGTACATTGCTCCGTATTGCTTATTAAATAAATTTATCTAAAACTAATTTCATGATACACTTTGCATTAGATAGGAGCCGATTTTATGGCAAACTGTCCTTCAAAGGAATGAAGCAGTCATTTTTTTATGTCATTTATTGTTTTTCCCAAGTTCTGACCAGCCTCCTGATTTTCAAATGAGCAACTGAAGAAAAAAATAAGATGTTTAATATACGTTTTGAGACACAGGCAGCTTTGTCTGCTGATCTGAGCGTATTTAGGAAAAGCTAGTGGTCCTGTCTTACTTCCTTCTGTAGTTATTATAAGCATTTAGCAAGGGTTGTTGATTTAGTGCCAACATTTTACATTTGCTATCAACATACAAATAATTCACACCACAAAGACTTATCTGTTGTTGTCTGAGTGAATTTCACTCTAGTAGTAGGTTTCATTAGTCTCTCATAATTTTAAAGTATCTTGCAGAGCAGCAGGCAAGTGCTAAACACATATAATTTGGTCGAGAAAAATATTACTCTCATTAATATGCCAGAAATTATCAGCATTTTAACTGATTTCATTTATACTTGGATATATTCATAATAACCTAAATTTATAAAAAATGCAATGAACAGTTAGACACTCAAGGGCTTATGAAACTAAAAGCTAATTCATTGGAAAATACATAAAAATTTGACCTATCTCTTTAAAATGTATGTTTAAAAACAACCACAAATTAAGCAATAAAATATATTTCAAATGAATCTTTTATAAATTCAAACTACAGAAATGGCAAAGATATTAAGCTTCTTTATTGGTAAAGCTATTGACTTTTAGTACTTTGGAAGAGTGGTAAAAAATGACACATAATTTATTTTTTAGAAACTTCAGTTAAATCGTCTTTAGCTCTTAAAAATTAATATAATTTTTGCCACAACTGTATTTAAAGATCTAGCTATATTTAAGGGCCTAAAATAGAAAAAAAACAGACACACCTTCGATCTCTGTAAAGCAAACATACGATTAAGGCCTTTGATATTATCCTGATTGGAAGACTTAAAGAAAGAAGAGGGAAAGGCTTTTGCAATTAAGTTCAAGCAACCAAATGATAGAGGCAAAGTGCCATCTTTCACAGAAAATAATAGTAATATTGGAGATGATTCTGAAGAAAGTTCTTTCTTGAATTATGATACAAGTTCAGAGTCAGGATTACTGAAAATAAGCCTTGAGCCTCCTGTTTGTTTGTGTTTGTGTTTCATTGTATATAATAAGACTAAACCGTAATAAATGGGTGTTAGTATTTTAATAAGTGTGTTTTCTATAAATATGATTGCAGAGTTGTACTGAAGATGTGTGTCAAAACTTAAAAAGCAAATAGTGTTGATTTTCCAGTCTTCCAGTTCGTCAAAAGTCCTGTAAAATCTTATTCTGGACAAGGGTTAAATGGCTCATTCTTTGTGAGATTTACATAATCTCTTGAGTTTTCAATGTATTAAATTTGTGGCATTGCTATCGCCACCAAATCTGTTCAGAACTATCAGGTGGAAAGGGAAAAAAATTTTTTTTCTTTCCTTACTTAATCTACCTGAACTAACAAGACAAATAACTTAGCTATCTATATATAAGCTTTTTTTAATATTGAAATTTTTTAAAGGCCAGCATAAACTGGTTTAAGATGTACAGGCTGTATGAATTTCGGCTGTTAACAGTGTAACTCTGCCACTTTCTAATTCTTATGATTGAAACAAAGCCCAGCTTCAAAGTGTTGTATTTCCAAATAAGAATAGTTCCTAAGAATGTCCTCAGAACTGTGATAAAAGCAACTATTTGAGATTAACTTACCATTTTTCAGTTCCTAAGTCTTTCAACTAAGTTACATGACAACGTTTAGGGGAGGAAAAAATTAATCAGGTACAACACTTGGCAGCTGGACATGTAAATTTAATTTCAGAAAATTAGGGCATACCACGGCAAGACCACAGACGAAAACACCACAGCTGAGCTCTGATTAGGATTTTTTCAGCTTTTCTTTCCTCCTCACTCCTGGATGGATGGATGGTATTACATTAACTGCAAAATGCACGACGTCCGAGGAGGAGGGGAGTGCCAGGCCACCCATTCCAAAGCAGGAAAAATCCTTTGTCAAAATGTGAAGTATTTTGAAGGGGAAACACCCTTATTAGTATTCGAGTAAATCAGCATTAAAGTCAATTATCTGGGGGCCAACTACGTGAAACCACTAATACCAGTGTATTTATTTCAAATAGTGATCACTACGTATTTACGAACTGTCTAAAAAAAAAAAAATCAACAAACCTCGGCGCTGCTGTGACTACTTAAAAATCCCCACCATCACAAAAACATTCCAAAAATTAAGACCAAACCTGGAATCCACTTGATATTGAGGATGTGATTGCATTTAACGAGTTTGTTCAAAGTACGTCATTTGGGAGAGAGTTGGACCCACTTAAAGATACAAAATATGGCAACCACCTAGGTTTAAAAACAGTGAAATTCTGTACCCCCGAAGGCTTAAACGCTGTCATTCTAGAATCCCAGGTCACGTAGGCAACATTCTTAACCTGTTCCCACCCCCAACTCTGGATACCAACCTGCAGCGCGGTCCTTCCAAATCCATTTCGTGCATTGACGTTTACATTATTTTGCAACAAACTAGTTAGTTGCTCTAGGTCCCCCCTGGCAGCTGCGGACGCCAGCTCGTTCCCCCAAGGCTCGGCCATTCTTTAGGGTCCTGACGGTCGGGAAAAGGCGAATTAGTTGTTTTTCTCTTTTCCCTTTTCCTTTGCTCCTAACCAGGCTGCATGATGGCATCGAAGACTGACAGAAGGACTGGGATGGTTAATCTGGAGTAGAGCTTGGTAGTAAATACTAGTAAGATCTGCCTGCCAAAAGCCCGCCCCTCGATTCACACGTGATTATTCAGCAAAACTGAGCCATTGGAGAGGGGCTCCTAGCCTTGCTTTTATAGCTTAACCCCTAGGAAGAAAACTACTGGTGACTAACCAGACACACACACACACACACACACACACACACACACACACACACACACACACACACACGCACATTCCTGGTTAATTGCTCGCGACGTAAAAAGCAGGCAGAGCTGTCACGTACCTACGCTGCAGCTCCCTAGGGGGAATGTGTGTGGAGACTTAAGGGACGGAGATCAAGACAGAAAATACCACGGAAGAAAGGACATAGGCGGGGGCTGGGGAGGGGGGGTGGGGAACACAAAGCGTTTAACCCACCCTTGTTCGCGGTGGTGACCGGAGCCGCGCGAACCAGAACTGGAGGGGCAGGTCCTCGGAGGAGCTCGGTTTCCATCCGTCTCGCCAAAGGGGCAGTCCTCAGTCCTGTGCTGCGGGGAGAGCGCCGCGGTGCTGGATGCTGACGTGCTCCGGGGAGTTCGGACGCTCACTCAAGCCGGACGGGAGTAGCAGTTCCGTAGCCCTTGAGTTAACAGGACTCCTCGGGCTTCTCAGCTTCTCCAGAGCAGCCTGGAGCTGCGATCCCGGCCGTGCGGCGAGGTTAACGCTGCGTTGGAAGGCTCCAGAGCCCGCCCGCCGGGCTGCCACAGCCCCGCCGAGCCTCCCAGGCCGTGGGAGCCGGGCTCGGCGCGCGTCTCCGGAGGGTGCCGAGCGCACGGCAGGCCCCCGGCCAGCCCGTCATGCCGGCCCTCCACCGGGTCCCGGGACGGCCGGCAGCCCGCAGAGAGAGGAGAACGTCTCGGGAGGCGCCTAGGGGGCTCCGGCCGCCGAGACAGCTCGCTGCAGCATCGCGGCGGCACAGGGCAGCCGGCCGGTAACTTCCCGCCTCCGACCGAGCTGCTTCAGGCTCTCCAGGGCAGGCACTCTAGGAGCGGTGGCCGCCGTCGTCCTTTCTTTATTTTCCCAGTTTTCTTTTTTTTGGGGGGGAGGGGTGCCCTCTGGGGATGACGAGGGTCCTGAGAAGCGAAGGCCAAGTTCGGAGCGCGGGGAGTCGCCACCAATCCAGGGCGCAGCCGGTCCCGCTGCCCTCTCAGCCTCTGCGCCCCGTGCCACTTGGGCCAACTTGTCGCCGTCCCCCGGCCTGTGCCCCTAGTCCGTGTGTGCAGGCAGCCGCCAGCCAGCTGGGTCCCCGGGCGGAGCTGGGTAGCACGGATTCCTGGTCGCAGCGCTCCCAGTGACAGTTTCTTTTGTAGCCGGTGTCCCCTAAAATCGCGGGCGCCTCCACCCTAAACCCTTCAGAGGCACTTGCTCGGAGTCCCCCTGTCTGTCTGTTCTTTGCCTTCTTTTCCTCCGTTGAGCTGCTCTCTCGGCCCAAACAATTGCCGCCTCTGTTGCCTGTGAAGAGACGGTGCCGGTTTCTGCTCTCTTTTTTACCGACCTCATCAGCTTTTTTTGAAAAGAAAAAAATTGAGCGCTTTTTGAGTTGAAAAACCCGCCCCCATTTTAACGGCAGAGTTTTAAGGAGGCTCGGCCGAGTTGCAGCGCCGCGGGAGCGGGAAGGCCGGGCCCCGCCTTCGCCCCGCCTCCCCGCCCCGGTGGCGCTTTCGCTCGGCGCCCCGCGCTCCCGCGGCCGGCCCGGCCCGCGCCCTTCCTCCGGCTTCCCCGCTCTCCACCTCCTTCGCCCGGTCCCCCGCGCCTGCCCGCGGCCCGCCAGCCTCGGCAGCTGCTGCGGCGGCGTCCGGCCCCTGCCGAGTCGGCCTGCCCTCCTCGGGGCTGGAGTCGGCCAGTTGGGCCGCGAGTCCCACAGGGGCGGCCCACGGTGGTGTGACTTGCTGAGGAGAGCCGCGCGGCCTCGGGAGGCTCGGCGGCGCTGGATGCTGGAGGGCGGAGAGCGAGCCGGCGCCCAGGGAGTCTTCCGCAGCCCTGGCAGAGGGCAGGTCGAGCCGCCGCGGCGCTCCCCGGGTCAGGCTCGCCAGGCTCGCCGCTAGGCCGGCGTGAGCACCGGCCGCCTCTGGGGCGCGCCGCCGTCCGCTCGGCCTTCTCGGCTCAGCTCCCCGGCCTCGGCCTCGCACCTGCCGGAGCGACGCCGAGAGCAGCCGGGGTGACCGCGGGCTTGGGGAGGGAGACCTGGGCTGACTGTAAGATCTGTACCCAGAAAAAACAACTAGTCTTTTTGACTGAGTTTTTTTTTTCCCCAACATTTAAGACATGGTATGGGTAAGAAGGAAACCATCATGAACTCTGAAACCTTAAATAGGGCTTCAGATTTTGGACTATGAAATATTCCTATTTTTAGAGGAAAGGGAGGAAAAACAATAGAATTTGGAGCAGAATTGCTAAAGTAACTCTTGGGAAGTGTTTCCTAACAAAGATATTTCTTTGTTGCCCGAAGTCCTTTCTCACTGCTTAGATGCAGCCTTGGGTTTGGCAGCAGGGAGGGTAGAGTGTCCAAATGGAGAATATTCTCTTCCCTAAGTCGTTTACTTTGATCATCAACACCAGTTCGCTGTGCTGTTAACTTCCTGTTTGGCTAGGTGAGGTTAATTAACTACTGCTTTCTGTATTTTTACGCTTTTAAAAATTACCAACACCGTTGCATGATGTACTCAGGAGTCAAAATGAAACCAAGCAAAAAAAAAGACAACTGGTCTGATTAGTACCAGCACCTGGCTAGCATATCTTCAAGCAACTTGTGTGCCCAGATCCTTGAAGGCCACTGGGAGGATTAACACCTGACTAGTCATCTGACAGCACACTGGCTCGGGGTAGTGGGGAGAGTCGAAGCTGGGAAGACTCTAGCAGTGTCCTCTAGCTAAACGACAGAATTTCCCCAGGTAACTAGTGAAACAAGTGGGAACCACAGTGCAATATAAGAAGTGAATTCATTTTTTTTCCTACCTAAATTTAGACACATCAAGTAGAACATTTAGGATTTCACTTACACCAGTAATAAATAATAATTTATTTGAGATTTTTGGGGGAACTCTGTAATCTTTCAGTGCAGTTGGAAGGTCTGATGATACAGTAACCCTGTTAACTTGTAAAGTTAACTGGCAGCAGTCCAGTTTGTGAGACCACCCAGTGCTTGTCGGGTTTTCTTGCTTGGAAAAATGAGGAAGAATCTTAAACTGCACTTGCTATGTAAAGAATGGATATACAAATGGTATAAGTTACACGAATTAAAATTATTGTGCTAAATAACCAAGTAATTGTACATACTTAGTTTCACTATTGTTTGGACCAGAATGAGCAACACAGAGGTTACAATCTAATTCAGAGAGTAAGTAAAAATAATAAAAGTATCTTGAATGAAAATCTAATATTTACTGAGGAATGCTAGTTCACTGACATAGACTTAAGGCTGTCACTGCCTTCAGTAAGCTTGTATTTTTTTTTAAGATTTATTTTATTTTTATTGTAAAGTCAGATATGCAGAGACAGAGGAAGATCTGTCCATTGATTCATCCCCAAGTGACTGCAACAGCCAGAGCTGAGCAAATCCAAAGCCAGGAGCCAGGAGCTCTTCTGGCTCTCCCATGTGAGTGCAGTAACCCAAGGCCTTGAGCCATCCTCCACTGCTTTCCCAGGTCACAAGAAGGGAGCTGGATGAGAAGTGGAGCCACCAGGATTAGAAACAGCACCCATATGGGGTCCTGGCATGTACAAGGTGAGGACTTTAGCCACTAGGCCACCGTACCAGGCCCAAGCTTGTATTCTAACGTGATGTATAGAATGACTCAAAATTAAGCACTCATATTGAAAGGAGTTGTTTCTCTTTTAACAGAATAATATCTCTCTGTAATATTGAAATACAGCTTTTATAGCTGCATATTAAATCCCAGTAGTCATCAATACCTTTTTCTTCTGTAGTTCACAATACAGATACATTATTTAATTAAATTACTTTGTGCTTCCCCTCCCCCCCTTATTGATTAAAAAATGCAGTTTCTGACACAATTTTTTGGAAATGTATATATGACATATATAATTTCTTAATCTACTCTCAAAGGTTTCTTGTGTTTATAAAGTCATAAAATGTCTCCTTTGGGGATCCTTTGGTGTTTTATTTCTGAGTTTCAGGAGGTATTTTTGTATGGGTCCTCACACCACTTATGAACGTCTTTTTATAAAATAAGAAAGGAAAAAAGAAAGCCCAGTAAGAAAGCTTTCTGGGCATAATAGCAGTAATATTTGTATGGTGTTGATGGTTATAAATATATATTCAATACTGCAGCTTTACAACTCTAATGTAAATATAACTATCCCTAACTTCTTGGGTGAGGGCTTTGGAGTTGATAGAGATTGTGAGTTAGTAAGCAGTACACAGGTCTTGGGTCCCAAAATCTTATACCTTTTGGTTATATAAGAGTCTAGGATCAGCCCCTAGACACTTAAAAATATTAAATCATTAGATGAACTGCTTGGTTACTTAGTATGAAATCTAACGCTGGTAAAATGAGTCTTTGCTCATGAATTAGAAGAAAGAAGTATTTTTTAAAAAGATGTATAGGGTGGCATGATGGGCTAATAGGCTAATCTTCCACCTGTGACACTGGCATTCTATATGAACACTGGTTCAAGTATGAGTTGCCCCACTTCTGATTGAGCTCCCTGCTGCTGGCTTAGGAAAGCAGCAGAGGATGACCCAAGACTTTGGGCCCCTGCATCCACATGGGCAACCTAGAAGAAGCCCCTAGCTCCCAGCTTTGGAACAGCTCAGCTTGGGCTATAGTGGCCGTTGGCAACTGGGCCGGTGAATATAAGATCTTTCTATGTCCCTCCCTCTCTCTCTCTAACTCTTGCAGGTAAAATTTTTTTTAAAAAATTAAAAATCTTTATTTAAATTTTTTTAAAGATTTATTTATTTTTATTACAAAGTCAGTTATACAGAGGAGGAGAGAAAGAGAAGATCTTCCATCCACTGATTCACTCCCCAACTGACCACAACGCCCAGGAGCTTCCTCTTCCGGGTCTCCCACACGGGTGCAGGGTCCCAAAGCTTTGGGCCGTCCTTGACTGCTTTCTCAGGCCACAGGCAGGGAGCTGGATGGGAAGTGGAGCTGCCAGGATTAGAACCAGCGCCCATATGGGATATTGGCACCCTCAGGGTGAGGACTTTAGCTGCTAGGCCACGCCGCTAGGCCCTAAAAATCTTTAAATAAAAGGATTTATTTTATTTATTTTAAAGGTAGAGTTACAGGTTAAGAAAGGGAGAACACAGACAGAGGTCTTCCATCTGCTGGTTCACTCCCTAAATAGCCACAATGGCTGGGATTGTGCTAGGCTGAACCTAGGAGCCAGGAGTATGTCCGCGTCCTAGCACTTGGGTCATTTTCTTCTGCTTTCTCAGGTTCACTAGTATAGAGTTGAATCAGAAGTGAAGCAGTCAGGACATGAACCAGTGCCAATATGGGATGCCAGTGTAGTAGGAGGCAGCTTTGCCCACTGTGCCACAATACTGGCTTCAAGAAGTATTGTTAAAAAAACAAAGAAACTTTGATTACCTTAACCAACAGAGCAAGATTAACGCCACCAGTAATGTCATGTGGCTAATTCACAGCCCTCATATGACGTAATGAGAAGGACATACCCTTCTGTAGTATTTGTCATGAGAATTCATTAAATCTAGCGCAGAGAAAACATCAGCTAAGCCCAAATTGTGAGGTATCCTATACAATTCTTGACTCTTCAAAAGCATCCAGACTGCAAAATTGTCATAGGCTACAGAGACATGATATCGAACTGAAATGTGGCATTCTCAGTTGCAACAGGA